GCGAATGATTTTCCGGAACCTAATATTTTCTCAGCCATATGGGGAAGACATGACAGCTTGTGCAGGTTCCTTGGAAGTACTGCGAGAAAGCAGGAAAGCAGTGCTGTATACTTAAGATGCATAGACTTCATCAAATTCATCAGGCGTATAACTCTCTTTGATTATGACGAAGAGAGAAACAGGAATTTTTTGCAGCCACAAACCGGTTAGACACGCTCTCAGCATCCATGGATGTTAAAATAAAAATTGCCACGGTGTAAAGGTAAAAATGGCCAGTACAACTACTCAAGCTTTGAAAATGCGATTGCTCACTATACCCTAGAAGCCTAAGCAAATTTCAGCTTCGCCGAGTGTGCATCTGATCGCATTGGTACTTCCGACGAAGTGATTGCCCCGTACAAGTGTTCACTGCAGTCACGTGAATCAATGTTCAGCTGTGCTTCCCGGCCCTCAGGCCACTCTGGAATCGTACGAATTTGTCCATGCAGAGATTTCCTACCCGGACAAACAACGCGATGTAAAAATTGTCTATGATAGTAATTTGAGTTATAAGCAAGAACAACTTGTTTCCATGTTCTCTCCTTATATGAGTGAATCTCAATAACCTGTGACCAGACCAATGAGAGATGAGAAGCTTTATCGATGTAAAGGCTACACCTACACTGTACCACCCACGATCGGTCTCAGAAATCCACAAGCGCGCGCGTCGCATGCAGCGGAAATGGAACTTGGGCGAAGAAGTTGACCCTGTGCTCAGATCTATGACTGCAGTTCGTCGTGTGTTTACCTTTTCTCCCCTTTAGACGTTCTTTTCATTCCCGCTTGTCTTAAGAGGATACACCATTTCATGAATACTAGGCATAAAGATATTCGAACAAAAGCAAACACTCTGCAATTTTTTGCCCAAGCGTAGGATATGATTATTACTCATTCCTAGGAAGACAGGAGAGTCGCGAACGCTTCGCATAGATGTAATCAAATTATACTACTTTTACTCTATCGCATCAGTTTACTTCTGGACATGGAAGTGTGCGCGAGATTGTCAAGCACTGCAATACGTTCTAGAGACGCTGTGATAGAGTCGACTTTCACCTGCGGCTCACAATTTTGTTGTCTGATGTGTAGCAACTGGTAAAGCAAGGAGATAAGGAGGAAACGTTGCTGATTATATCGTTCGAAGTATAAAAACAGGTCATTTACTCCCATGTGCATTCAACACTAATTGTAAGAATAAAAATTTGCAAGTTACGTAAAGAAAAGTCTGTAAAGATAAACAGGGAACAACTGGTATAAATCTTGAGTCGATTAGCCGCAGATATGACCCCCAAACGCTTTCGCGCTCAAGTACCATTTTCGCTGCCTGCGAAGCGCGTGCGAAGCATCATCATCCCATGACCGATGGTGGATGATACAGCCTATGCGCTTTGCATGACACTGATGCTATAAGAATAAATGAAATAATGCAAAACCTCTCTAAGTGTTTTGACTTCTAGAAGATCTTGATCTATCAGATTTGCACCGTATGTTGAATTTAATCACTTTACTGAATAGTTTTTCTTCCTTCTTCCACCAGCTTTCTTCGAATAATTTACATCTTATATATAAAGCTGAATGTCTGTTTGTATGTCTGTCTGTCTGTGTGTACGTATGTTCCGAATAGAAAATTCCATTTCTGAACCGATCGGGACCAAACTTGGCACACATACACTTCGGGCCCCGGCGGGTGTCACAGTCCACTTTTCATTATCGATCGATGTCGATTTTATCGATTTTTTGCAAAATTTGAGCTAGGGGGCTGGAATTTGGCAGGGGGGTAATCGAGCATGCTGATTATGAATAAAATAATGACAGGGCCGGGCGGAGCCGGGTTTGCCAGCTAGTAGATTCTAAAAGCAACAATATTAACAGGTACTCCATCGATATCAGATTATCGATTATCTGAGGGGGCAGGCGGTCCGCAAACTCGCGCTTTTTGGCAGGCGGTCAGCAGAATTTTGGGGCGTGGCCAAACCTTCAGCGGGCGGCACTTCCTTTACGGTCGCATATTCTGCCAGAGGGCAGCAATACAGCATTTTTTGCAAGCGCTCGGCAAATACCGTGCGGCCCTCGAAATTTTTGCATATTTTCGCGGAAAGTCCGCGAGGATGCGGCCACTGCGCCGCAGCTAATCCATAAAGAAACCGCGATTGTTCTTCAAGCATTCGTCTATGATTTCGCCAACTTTCTTCCAAATTTCTGCAAGCGGGCCGCAAAAAATCAACGAACTATTTTTCCGGTGCGCGCTTGCTCAAAATTTGCATGGCCGCCTGCCCCCGGCGGTTATCTGAGTGTGACACCAAAATCAACACACACACACACACACTTCTAAAAGAGTAAAAAAAGTACCTGAAGACATGACTATCCGTACTAGAACGCACCGAGTTTTCAATTTGCTATATAGCTCTTTTCAAAGGCGCTTTCGCGCCATTGCTCGCTGCGGCGGATGCGGCTTATATAAAATGCGGCTTATATAAGGTGCGCCTTATACTCCGGAAAATAGGGTATTTTTCCGGTGCCCGCTTGCTCAAATTTCGCATGGCCACCTACCCCGGCGATTATTGGGGATGACACCTCTGTTAAGTAGAGTGTTACCTTTGCTCGGCGTACGCCCGAAACTGTGTAAAAAGAGTCCAAGCGCCTGCTGAAAGTTTGGCCCGCGCTCGTTGAAAGAGAATATGTGATGAGCGCTTGCAGGAAATTTTGTATTGCTGTCCGCTGGCAGAACACGGAAGTACCGCTCGCTGAAGGGTCATCCCAAAATTTTGCTGACCACTTGCAGAAAAGCGCGAGTCTGCGGACCCGGACCGCCTGCCCCCGGCGATTACCTGAGTTGTCGCCACATAGAAATCGTAGTAATCATACTCTCTTGCCTTCTTGCGACGCTATAAAAGAACTTCTTCTAGCTGTTGCTGAACTCGAAAGAGGCGGCGTGCGGAGCCATTTCAGAAGAATGGCACTAAACAACGAGCAAGCTCCTCCCGTTGGTGAGAGTGATCAGTCTCCGCTGAGTAGTTCTGTAGGGCGATTCACATGTCTGCAGGCGTTGTTTCTCTTCATAAAGTTAGAGATCCATTGAAAAGATGTGCGACGGAGAGAAGCCCAACAAGATGGCCGCAATTCGGGGCCCTTATCCAAACCTCTCAATCCTATACTCTTCTTTGGCATCCCGATATTTTTGCTGAAGTCACCACGCTAGACTGCAGAAGTTTTTAGTTGCGAACAATCTCTTCCCGTCTTCGCATAAAGCATTCAATTCTGATTTGTGTTATGCTATTGTTGACGAATAGCAGTTGATCTTGCTGATGCCTGATAATGACGTAAACGTACAATGGCCAGTCAAGTAATAGGATTCATGTGAATCGACAACATGAACGACAGGTTGTAGGACTACAAAGCCAATTCCCAACGTTTCGTAATGAAGGAACGTTATCACCACAAATGGTAAGGGTCTCATATAACTGACGCAGTAACCGCTGGACGCCAAAGGTGCGATCGTGCAGAAATTTCTGTCTATCTTCCTTGCTGAACAAACGGATTTTTCCGCGTCAACAGCAGTCTTACAGGGCCGTGCTCTTGCCTTCCAGGGCAGTGGCGACCTTGGGATGTAGAGTGGGGACCGTCAGCGACTACAGCCACGTAGCGAGGGATCTAGCCCGGTTCGCCCTTAGCTAGGCATTCGAAAAAGCCGAAGGTCGGCGAATCGAACTCTCTCACAGTATGGAAGAACTTGCCAGAGTATATACAATATGCTGTATTTTCTCTATTCGATTAGCATGATCTCCACGTCACCTAAAGAGAACGCGGCGTCGGGGTGATGATATGTTTACAAAATGTTACGATATGCTCACAAAATCCGCTTTGCTTTTTGACCCAAAAACGAAGCCCAATCTGTTTTCAATATTTTTCTGTTGGACTTATCTCAAAGGATGATATGCTGAGGATGATATGCAACAGATAGTCACACTCTGTCACAGGCAAATGTTCAAATCCCGTCAGTCCACCTGGAATTTAGGCTCTATGACCTCCAGCCGTTATTGCTCTTTTAGTAATGAGTAATGTGTACAGGGTGTCCCAAAAGTATGTATACACTGTCTGATCGATGATATCTCTTTTCCCAAAAAATCTTCTGCCTACCTTCAGGTACCATTTTGTAGAACTGCTTCAACTTAGATCTACAATATGGAGCGAATCACCGAACGTTCTTCATTGCTGTAGGATTGTAGTAGAAACTTTCAGTTTACAGCGACATTGTGGATCAATTGTGTTTCAAAAAAGTTTCCAAAAATGCGAAATGCGGTGTATAGGCCGCCCGCGCAGGGCGCGGAGAGCGCGCAAGGTGTGTATTGCGCGTCGCTCCTCTTTCCCCGTGCACTCCCGTCGCCTGTTTTCTTTGCGCTCCTTCCAGCCATGAAATATCTCCAATGGACGCAACAGCGTTACTCTCCGTGAGCAGCGCGGATGGCCTATACCAGGGCTTTCACGCGCGCTGATTTTATTACTCTCAACTATTTAGAGTCTGCAAAGCTTTTGAATGGGTAATCTCGATTTTAGGGAACATTGTTGAAACAGTTATTGCGGTTTAAATCAGCATAACTTATGAAGGAAGCGTTGCGTTGCGGAAAAGTGCAAACTTTAGCCTAGCAAAAGTCTGATTGTTTAGTTTTGCTTCATCAGGCAGAATAAGGCCCCGAATGGTTCACAACCCTCCTGGAAGTTTCTACCGTAACCCTACAGTAAGAAGAGCGATGAGTGATCCATCCTACGCTTTAAATCTATGTTGAAGCTAATTCTACAAAATGGTGCCTGGAGGTAGGCCAAAGTATTGTGAAAAAAGATATCAACGCTCAAACTGTGTATACCTACTTTTGGGACACCCTATATTTATTGAATGGCTCTTCGTATGTGGTTTACTAGTGAGCAGTATCAATCTGAAAACGATTTATGATTTGCTGTATCCGTTGCAAACACAAGCAAGTGATAACCTATTCATAACAAAATATCTTACATATACAAATCTAATGTGGTTGAGGAACGTGCCCATCTACGTAAAAATTGCGAGTTATAGGTGGAAGAGTAAAAATGGCTCCATCGAGATCTTTTCTTAGTTTGATCTGGCAACCAAGACGAGAGTTGTGCCGCAGCGCCGGCGCCTGCAAAATATAGGGGTTTATATAAGCCCTCATAATCCAGCATCGATCACCCCATGTACAATTACCCTCTGTATCATTGGGACTGGCACTCACTCAGATAATCGCCGGGGGCAGGAGGTCCGCAAACTCGCGCTTTTCTGCAAGCGGGAGTCTTTCAGCAGAATTTTGGGGCGTGGCCAAACCTTCAGCGGGCGGCACTTCCTTTACTGTCTAGTGTTCTTCCAGCGGGCAGTAACGCAGAATTTTCTGCATGCGCTCGTCAAATAATCTCTTTCAGCGAGTGCTGGTAAAATTTTCAGCTGGCGCTCGGACGGTTTTTGAGCAGTAACGGGCGTACGGCGAGCAAAGGTGAGACTCTACATGGAAGAGGTGTCATCGATGGTTTAATTACTCAAGTTTGAGGTACTTCCTCTCAGCGGAAAGTACCTGCTCAGATAATCGCCGGGGGCAGGCGGTCCGCAAACTCGCGCTTTTCTGCAAGCGGTCAGCAAAATTTTGGAGCGCGGCCAAACCTTCAGCGAGCGGTACTTCCCTATTCTGCCAGCGGGCAGCAATACAGAATTTTCTGCAAGCGCTCGTCAAATAATTTCTTTCAGCGAGCGCTGACTAAACTTTCAGCAAGCGCTCGGACTCCTTTCATGCACTTTTGTGCGTACGCCGAGCTAAGGTAAGACTCTACCTGGCAGAGGTGTCTTCGATGGTTTTATTACCCAAGTTTGGGGTACTTTCTCTCAGCGGAAAGTACCTGAGGGCTGTGCGGTCCTCCACAAAGGACCGCGCGGCCCTCATTAATTTTGCATATTCTCGCGGAAAGTCCGCGAGAATGCGGCCAATGCGCCGCAACTAATCCATAAGAAAACCGCGACACTTCTCCGAGCATTTGTCAAAAAATTGAACAATATTCTTCCAAATTTCTGCAGGCGGAGCGCAAGAAATCAGCGAACTATCTTTCCGGTGCCCGCTTGCCCGAAAATCGCATGGCCGCCTGCCCCCGGCGATTATCTGAGTGGGGGCTGCGCGGTCCTCCACAAACTCAGATAATCGCCGGGGGCAGGCGGTCCGCAAACTCGCACTTTTCTGCAGGCGGTCAGCAGGATTTCGGGGCGTGGCCAAATCTTCAGCGGGCGGTATTTGCGTTTTCTGCAAGCGGGCATCAATACAAAATTTTCTGCAAGCGCTCGTCAAACAATCTCTTTCAGCGAGCGCTGGCCCAACTTTCAACAGGCGCTCAGACTCTTTTTACGCACTTTCGGGCGTACGCCGAGAAAAGATGAGACTCTATGTGGCAGAGGTGCCATCGGTGGTTTTATTACCCAAGTTTGGGGTACTTTCTTTCAGCGGAAAGTACCTGAGGGCTGTGCGGTCCCTCAAAAAGGACCGTGCGGCTCTCAATAATTTTGCATGTTCTCGCGGAAAATCCGCGAGAATGCGGCCACTGTGCCGCAACTTATGTATAGAAAAACCGCGATAGATCTTCGAGCGTTCGTCTAAAAATTGGCCAAAATTATTCCAAATTTCTGCAAGCGGACCACAAAAAATCAGCGAACTATTTTTCCGGTGCCCGCTTGCTCAAAATTCGCATGGCCGCTTGCCCCCGGCGATTATCTGAGAAGGACCTTGAAAATCTGAGCAGATAACCTCTGGGGGCAGGCGGCTATGCGATTTTTGGGCAAGCGGGCACCGGAAAAATAGTTCGCTGATTTCTTGCGCTCCGCTTGCAGAAATTTAGAAGGATGTTGGCCAATTTTTAGTCGAATGCTCGAAGAACAATCGCGGTTTTTCCATAAATTAGTTGCGGCGCAGTGGCCGCATTCTTGCGCACTTTGCGCGAAAATAGGCAAAAATATTGATGAGCGCACGCCCGTAGGTACCTTCCGCTGAGAGAAAGTACCCCAAATTCGGGTAATTAAACCATCGATGACATCTCTGCCACATAGAGTTTCACCTTTGCATGGCGTACGCCCGAAGCCGTGTAAAAAGAGTCCGAGCGCTTGCTGAAAATTTGGCCAGCGTCGCTGAGAGAAATTCTTGCCGAGTGCTCCCAGAAAATGCTGTATTGCTGCCCGCTGGCAGAATATGCGACAGTAAAGGAAGTCCCACCCGCTGAAGGTCTGGCCACGCCCCAAAATTCTGCTGACCGCCTACAAAAAAGGCGCGAGTTTGCGGAAAGCCTGCCCCCGGTGATTATTTGAGCAAATGGTGGGCGGGGTTCTGGGCTCTACATCTCTCTCGCAAGCGTGCTCTCTCGTCATTCTTCAGGCTTAACACGTTGACGACAGCGCGCATTTTGTTCCAGTTGTCCGCAAGGTGGGACAATACCTTCCTTGAACAAGTTGACATTTTTAGCTAAAATCATGCAGCTTGTCAGTTACAGTATACCTACAGTAATTCTAAGAAGCAGCCGAGAGACACGGAAGTATTTGCTAGGCTCAAAGCGTAAGGGAACCTTCCGAAACAAATGTATCCCCGAATAGCAGTCATTTTGCAAAAATGCAAGCCATGACCAACCATGTGGAGTCACATTGTCCACGAGGCAGTCACTGCATGACCCACCATGTGGGTCGCGTTGTCGTCAATGTGTTAATTAGCGACCAAAACTCCGCCCTTCACCCGCCACTCCCTTGAAACAGAAGGTAATCTTCTTATATATAAAGCTGAATGTCTGTATGTATGTCTGTCTGTCTGTCTGTACGTATGTGCGGAATAGAAATTTTTATTTCTGAACCGATCGGGACCAAACTTGGCACACATATACTTCGGGGCAGGGAGCGTGTCATAGGCTACTTTTCGTTATCGATCGATATCGATTTTATCGATTTTTTGCAAAATTTGAGCTACAGGGCTGGGAGTTGGCACAGGGGGGTAATCGAGCATGCTGATTACGAATATAATAATGACAGGCCGGGGCGGAGCCGGGTTTGCCAACTAGTTAGATCTAAACGTAGAGGTGGTACCTTTGTGGTGCCGGGATTTGACGGTAAAAACCGCGGATGAACAAGTATCTATCTACTTAATACGCTTGTGTTGCTGACAATTTGCACACACATAATGTTGGCATTTCAGGCGAAGCTAGTTCACGCCCAACTTTTACAGTCCAGTCTTGGCGCACAGGGGCACCATCTCCAGAACAAATCCGCACTGATCAAACACTGATCAATCCGCACTGTGCCAAAAGTTGCACAGCTAAGCCTATATGTATCGAAGTGAGGCAAGCGCCATACTTGATCCAGTTGATCCTCTTGTCCACTTCCCATTTCATAACTGATCAGTTCACTGATCTGACCAATAACGAAGTGGATCAAGCGGATAAAGTGGATAACGTATAACATGTCCCTGACTCGGCAAAAATCTCGACTATGAAGTCTTTCCGGGGCTATTGCTATGTTGGCCTCGAAAACTCTTCTGGGAAAAAGCAAAAATGGCAAGAGGAGAATACGCAATCTAACGCTGAGAGGAGTAACCCCTCGAGTGAGCGGGATCGAAGGTGGAAGGGAGAAAAAACTTGGTTTTTTCATGCAAGATTTTGGGGTACGGGGAGAGCGCCTAGCTTGAGTTCGTTCTACTGCGCTTTGAGATGAAGGAATCTAAAGCAAATCGTTATTTATGACATGCAAAACGCATTTCAAATACAAGCGAAGGAAAAGATAATGCCGTTGCGAGAACAAACAAACGACACACCCAACGGCCACCACTGCCAAAAATCGTATACCTTACCTGATCAAGCATATCATCTTCTTCCTCCTTCGGTTCATCAAGTTTCTCGAGATACTTTTCATCGACGTATACATGGCAAGTGGAACAGGCACATGACGCTTCACAGGCACCCTCCAGTTCTATACCGTGTCTGCAATATTCCTCACTAACACAACACTAACGCATATGACCGCATATGACTTTTGCAAGAAAATTGTTGAATTGTTTGACCAAAATTGAGACCAAGGAATTCTATGTGTCATATTCAAGCTCAGCGCTCACGATCTTCTAGCCAATCAAGGACGCTATATCACGTTATATACTTTAGAAGGACTTTTCGTTGCGGACGACACGTTGTGTGACCCAGGATCTCAAAATCGTGATTACGCTAAAAACTTTGCAAAGATATTATTCTGGATGTTAGGAGTATTGCATTGATTTTGCATGGTAGCATTTTCTTCTGGGGTTACGCTGAACATATACCAGTGCGTGCAAACGCTACAGCCCAGCGCAGTGCAATCACACCAACGTATGGGTTCGAGCTACACTTTTCCTCAATCGGGATCAGACCGAACCGTCGGCTGAATTTGCGCGCTCGCAGCGCTAGGGGTTTGCGCTGCATACGCGCGCTGTCGCAGAGAGAGAAGAGATTGAGGCGAGAGCAGACTAGCTAGCCTGAAGCCATACCCTCGCGACACGGACTCCTGCCATGCCAATTTTGGCATGGATTGGGGCAGACTGTAAATGCCTACAGGATCGTAGTTCCTTTATTTCCATAAAAGAATAAGAAACAGACATAAAAAGCAGTAAACCTCAAGTCAGGATTTCTGACTGAGGTAGTATAGTTAGCGCGTGGATCGTTGCGGCTGCACTGCGCGGGGCTGTTCGTTCAAAGCACCGTCTACCCAAACTGAGGATAATGAGATTTTGATGTCACAAGATAAAGGGGGCCTGTCTAAGTCATCGTCCAAGTCTCGCTGCAGAAGACGATCAGAGCGAGAAAACCGCTTCAAAAAGGCGCCACGCTGGCCCCGCCCACCAACGTGGGTGGCCCGATGATAAGAAGTTCAAAATCGGGCTCCAGGGTAGGTAGAAATATTGAAAATCTGGTAATCATAATGATGGGCAGATTTATGACGACTCCATATACATTAAAGGTAGCGTCCAGGCAAACCTGCACTACCTGAGCTACCGATTGGGCAGTGGTTTAGTTAAGGCCCCAAAATTACTATCTACCTGAGATCCCCATATGCGGGATCTCAGGTAGATAGTAAGGGGCCCTACCTGAACCAGTGCCCAATCGGTAGCTCAAATAGTGCTCTAACGGCTGATTGTGAGATATTCTCCTCGAAATGGACCCCAGGATCGTATTTCGCTTGGAATCACAGCGCAACGCTGGGTCGTAGCGAAACTGATGGGTTGCGCCATGAATCCATGCGAAATCCATACGATCCTGCGGGTCCATTTCGGAGGTGTATTTCTTAGCCGTTAGTGCCGCTTAGGCACATGCCATACTTAATCCGCCTGATCCCTTGATCCACTTGATCCGCTTCGTGCAGCCCGCACACAGTAGTTTGTCATTTTAAAAGGAATTTTGTATGGTAGGCAGGACCGCGCAGAATTAACATTAATTCTGCGCGGTCCTGCAGCTGAAGCAGGCAGTCGTGCGCAGATTTAACGTTGAATCTGCGCGTTCAATCTGTTAATTCTGCACGCCTTCTGCAGCTGAACAACACAGAACAGTCGCTTAGTCTGGCGCCTACCTATGGTTACGGCAAATATGCTGTACGCGACGCCAAATAACAAATTAGTGACGGCGTTCTGCACGAAGCGGATCAAGCGGATCAAGTGGATCAAGAGGATCAAGTATGGCGGGTGCCTTAGGCAGTGCCTTAGTCAGGGCCCCGAAATTACTTTCCATGTAAAATCCCCATAGGTGCAGATTTGCCTGGACGGTGCCTTTAAAGGCAGCGGCTCGGCATAATAGACCTACCTCAGAATTTGACATAGATGGATAGATAGGAGGCCCTCCAAGTGAACCGAAAGAGCAGAATTCACATTTTCGGCCCAACTCTGGGGGGGGGGGGGGGCGAGCCAAGCTCCGCTCCCCTTCCTCCTTTCGCTCCCCTAATCTTTGAGCGGACGAGTATGTTCGCCGCTAGAAAACGCGCCGCCACTCGTAGCTTCGTAGGGCAGAATTGTTCTAGCGCTCTCTACCTCCTTACTCTGCATCTTGACTGCAGAGAAAAACAGCTCACTCGTCCGCGCCCGTCTCAAGGGGGGCGGGGGTTCAAAAGACGGGGTTTTACCATTTTCGCGCTAAGCGGAGTTCATGTCATGATTCAGGGGGCCGGAATAGCCCCAAATCTGCCAGAATCCCAAAGTCGAAAATCTGCCGAGCCGCCGCATTTAAGGCCCGATTTCGAGCTTTTTATCTTCAGACGCCCACTTGATGAACGGAGCCAACGTGGAGCTACTAAGCTTTGTAAAATAGGGTGGGGGGCACGCGGAAAGCGGCAATGCGCGCAAGATGCAAGCATTGTAAAATCGCTCTTTTTAAATTTTACAGATTTTTACTTATGGCATTAAGTTATGTATCTGCCCCGGGTGGAGGACATTAGGTCGCCGAAAGAGGGCGGTCCCCGCGGTCATTTGCGACAAATACGCACCCTTGTACATACGCGGACATGCGTTCCTGCAGGGAATCCGCGCGGGACTCCTCCAAATTCGGCGACCTAATGTCCTCCACCCATCTGCCCCTACCCCCTTACCTTAGCGCTGTGTCAACACCGAAGAGTTTTGAAGGCCACAAAATTTAGGGATTGTCGTCTTCCGCACCATACCGTAAAATACAATTGCCAGCGCGTCGCTTTGAACACCAATGCGCGGAGCGGCTGGAGATGTGGGTTTCGCGATGTAAGCTATTTACAATTGAACGCGAACGTCGTTTAAACGTATTTTATGAGTTTCCAAAGACACTTTTGGGTGGAGGACTATGTCGCCGAATTTGGAAGAGTCCCGCGCGGATTCCCTGCAGGAACGCATGTCCACGCATGTACAAGGATGCGTATTTGTCGCAAATGACCGCAGGGACCGCCCTTTTTCGGCGACATATACAGGGTAAAGCGGGGGGTGCGGCACTCGACCGTCGGATACGACCCCCCCCCCCCTGATTGCTGTCTTAATAAGACCCCCCTCCTAAACTATACACTTAAGATAGTATTACCTGAAGGCTCTGTCAAACATAATGGACAACATATCCATAATTAGCATGTCAAATACCCCCTGTAGACAAAGTGTGAGCGAATTCTGAAGATTCAAGATACTAGGCTACCTAAGTGAAATGGTCAAATTCCAACATGGTTAACTTTGTTTTAAAGGTGAATTAGCTATCCGTTTTTGCACTCAACACAAAGCACTACTCCTTCTTTGTCCACCTCAGGAATCCCGCTTCAGAAGACCTCCAAACTGTGGAATTAGAAGCCAACAAAAATCTCATTTTTCCCATTTTTCGCTTTTGATGGCTGTGCTTTCACCAAATATTACTCAGAGCTAAGAAGACGAATCAGGCTCAAAACATCCCTATGGAATCTACGAGGTTTAGGCTATCGATTCATATAAATATTGTCCGCTAAAAATGTTTTTTTGATATAGTTAATGGCCTGCGGCACCCCTGCGGCACCCCTGCGGCAGCCGCAGGTTTTGAGGGGGGGTGCCGCAGGCCATTAACTATATCAAAAAAACATTTTTAGCGGACAATATTTATATGAATCGATAGCCTAAACCTCGTAGATTCCATAGGGATGTTTTGAGCCTGATTCGTCTTCTTAGCTCTGAGTAATATTTGGTGAAAGCACAGCCATCAAAAGCGAAAAATGGGAAAAATGAGATTTTGGTTGGCTTCTAATTCCACAGTTTGGAGGTCTTCTGAAGCGGGATTCCTGAGGTGGACAAAGAAGGAGTAGTGCTTTGTCTTGAGTGCAAAAACGGATAGCTAATTCACCTTTAAAACAAAGTTAACCATGTTGGAATTTGACCATTTCACTTAGGTAGCCTAGTATCTTGAATCTTCAGAATTCGCTCACACTTTGTCTACAGGGGTTAATTGACGTGCTAATTATGGATATGATACGAATATCATGTTATCGCTATAATCAGATCACCTAACTACGACCCCCTCCCCTTTTGACTCCTCAATACGACCCCCCCTCTGCGGCGTGCCGCACCCCCCGCTTTACCCTGGACATATAGTCCTCTACCCGACCGCTTATAGTGCCTTGCGACAATCACTCGCTTAGAAAATGGCCATAGGTTGCCGGCAACGGTTACCGGGGTTGCTGAGGTTGCCGGCGTTGCCGGGGTCAGAGACAGCTTAGAGAGAGCGCGAAATATGGAGGCTATTATGTGGTCAGGACCGGCAAGCCGGCAACCTCGGCAACCCCAGCAACCAGAAACATCGGCAACACGGGCAACCTCGACAACCGTTGCCGGCAACTTATGGCCGTTCCGTTACGCTGGTGTTCGCACGGCGCGGGCAACTTACGAGGTCTTACGTTCTGGAGCGGTTTTTTCGCTTCGAAACCCATTTTTTTGAGGGGAGACTTGGGCTATCGATCAGTTAGAAGCCACCCACCCCCTATCAAATAGCATCAATATCTCAAGATCCTCGATTTGGGTGGACAGTGCCTTTGATGGCCTGTACGGTTTGTGTCAACACGTATTGGTCTTTCCTTCGTGTAGATTCGCTAGTCTGCTCTATATCATAAGGGATCGGCCATACTATTCCAGTGATTCCTGCTATTCCTGCAGTTCCTGTGAGTCCCGCACAGTTTAGGCGCCGCTTAAATGAGCGCGTGTTGCGTAAAACAACACGTAACACGCAACACGCGCTCATTTAAGTGGCGCCTAAACTGTGCGGGCTCACAGGAATTGCAGGAATCGCAGAAATAGCAGGAATCACTGGAATAGTATGGCCGATCCCTAAACCATCGGAAACACGCCCACACGTGGCGCTAAACCTTGCGGAGCATACGGAAAACAACCAATAGGCATTGACACATGAGGTACAGTCGAGTAGATTTTCCGCTTAATACAGTGTGCTTGCACCGAAGGTGAAATGCAGTAAAATTTGCGTGTGAACAAGTAGCCACGCCAGTAATGCCAACATTTTGCGCGCAAATGGCGTCACAGGCGTAGCTATTTCTTCAAGAGCATTTACCGCATTTCACCTTCAGTGCAAGCACACTATAACAAGCGGAAAATCTACTCGACTGTAGGTGGGTCAAAATAGCTGCTCAGAATCTTCTGTAGTGCAATGGGAACATGCTAATCATGATCAAAATACCGGTAGTATCAGAGAGACCTTTCCGCAGTGTAGCGCCAGTTTAAGATATATCCCCTTTTCACGCAGAAACGATCCTTTCAACAAATTCGATCACTTTTGGTCCACAATAAACAACTTTCTAAATACGAAATACAAATCAGCGGCATGTTTTCCCACACATTAGCTCCAAAACAACGCTACCCTGCAGGAAATCAAGATATTTGTGCTCACGTGTATTGTAAGCGCTGGAGAGAATTAGTCAACCTATTTTGAGTTTTTTGGTTGGCTAATGCGGACAAGTACGAAGACTATTTCTTTGAATCAAAAGTAAAACAGTGACTCCAACTATGACGAGCCGCAACCCCCTGCGGCGAATTGAGCGCAGAGAAAGGTCATTCAGGGACAAAAGCGAAAAAGTCCTTCAGTCAAGGTCTTCCGCTCCTTTTGTAGGTTCAGGTCGTGAAACCGATCATTATGTTAAAATTTCCAAAATGACACCCTCTGAAATCTGACTCTCAGAATTCTTCTTTCTGGTGTTGTTTTTTCAGCATGGATAAAAAGCTTAAACTTAGATGTTGACTGAGCCACCTATGTGCAAGATACATTACGTTGTCACCGACTTTCCCACGAATGTGCTTCTTCGTTCCGTCCGGTAACACAAACGTCACATTCACGACTTCATCTTCTGATTTAGGATCCTAGAAAAAAAAATGACGGTTATATAAAGAGTTCACTTCAAACAAACCTGATACTCGTAGTCCCCGGTATTTCTACAGCTGGTTAATGATAGCGCTCGAATCCTCGTATCAAAAATATCAATATATAGTTGAGTAGGTTTCAGCCGATATATTTGAGCTGTTCGCAGGATTCGAAGAAGAAACATCGAGTGTTCCCATTTTCTCTGTGTTTCTTTTTTCTTGGAGTTCTCTCGCCAACCCACTTTTTGATCATGCGTCATTCTCTGTGAAGCTTTTTCACCATTTTGTTCACCCTTTCTGATTTGATTTTTGCCTTAGGAAGCCGTTATGGCGCACCAAAATCCACGGCTTCGGGGTAGGCAGCCGGCTGCGCAACGGGTTTATAGGAGTTCGGTGAGTTCATACTTTCAGCGTTTAATTTTCTCGTTTATAACAAAACATTAGTACACATTTTCGACTTATAGCAGATAAGGTATGCTCCTGGAGCTGGTGGGGAGTCTGAAATCAGCTGTTGCGTTAAATATTCCGTGTTTGGTTTCAACGTTATGTTCTTTCTTATCGGATTTGCCTTGTTACTAATAGGCGTTTGGGCGCAAATAGAGAAGAATAATATCTACAGTCATTTGAACAAGGTGAGCGTTCCAGTTAAGACGGCGTACTACAGATTATGTGCTGTTTCAGGCTTCCAAGCTGTATCTTGATCCGACATGGCTGCTTCTTGTTGTTGGACTTGTAACTTTTGTAATAGGTAAGCTATTCTCAAATTCAAGCAGTTTTTCATTCGTAGCTTATTAATGAACTGATTTGGCGCCGCTTTCATGAGAAATTTCTTTCGTTAACCCTGAGCTTTCTACAGACACTTTTTCAAGAGCTTATTTTTTTGTTTGTAGCACATAGTTTTGATAGCTCTTCCCGCTATTTTGTTTGACAACTCGAGTCCATGTACCTTCAACATCCTTCGAATTATGTTGTATCTTGGGGAGAAAGATATTCGTTTCAGGGTTCAGCGGCTGTGTTGGTTCACTGCGAGAAAATACCTCCTTCCTTACTTTTTATTCGTCATTGCTCGGTTTGCTATTGATTGCGGAATTCGCAGGTGCAGTGTTTGCGTATGCTTGTCGAGATCAGCTCGACACCTACATAAGGAATTTACTCAATGACGTGGTTTGTTTGTCTTTTTTGCTGACAGCTAAATCTCAAAATATTTGGTGCTTCATAGCAGTTTTATCTTTCACCTCTTTCCTCAGAGCATCAACACAACTTTGTAAGTTATCTTACTAATGCAAATGTTCAGGTTGTTGGTTATCGCGATGATCCTGACTTACAAGTCCTAATCGACACTATGCAGGAGTCATGGCATTGTTGTGGTATAAACGGGGCTGATGATTGGGACAGGAATACTTACTTCGCTGTTGCCGCTCGTGAGGTATGCTTTACAGTTTTATCGTTATATATACATGACTCATTTTTGTCTTGCTATTATTTCGATGCTATCGTTTGTTTGTTTTATTTTGCTAGTTCTTACAGGATTTGAGGGAAACTTGTATGCATAACGGAATATATGACGGTACCACAAGTTAAACCTTCTTCTAGGTCTCTTCACCCGAAGCAGGAGGCGTGCCATTTTCATGCTGTCTTAACAGCAGCCAAATGGCTTTCAAGAACTTTTATTGTGGACATGGCGTGCGATTGAAGGTGCATTTCCTTGCAAGTTCTCGATATGCAATCCATTCTATCTCTTGCAGGAGCACGCACAAACTTCCATGAACTCCATATACACTGATGGCTGTTTACCAAAATTGCAGTTGTGGCTAAACAATAATGTTTTTCTTGTTGGAGTCGTTCTCATAATAGTCGCGGTAATTCAGGTCAGATAATCATTTTTTCGTTTGGGGCATTCCAGATTTTTACGTTTTTTTTTTTCAGATATTAGGCATTTGCTTCGCTCAGAATCTGAAAAGCGATATTTTCGCTCAAAGAGCAAAATGGTACTACACGCATTAGCGCTTTTTCTGCCAACCGCTTATGATCTTGTTTGTGTACTTTGCTGCAACATTCCTATATTTTCTATTTCTCTAAACCCATCACTTTTGAATACTTCCTTTGCATGCTAATGTCTATGTGCTTCAAAATATGATCAATTGTAAAGCATAGTCGTATATACGAGGTATATTACTGTATCATCTGATGCTTTTTCTTACTACTTTAGATATCCTTGTGTTGAGACGCAATGAGCAGGTATCAATAGTTCCTCCTCTCATGCTCAATCGAAAAGGGTTCGATGAATATTCAATTAAGCTACATATTGTGTTCCTTTCTAAATCAATTCTTTCTCCGCGATGGTTAATTGTGCCTGTGTCTTATATAGAGCTCCTTTGATTCTCTCACAAGCCACTTTTTGCCCTCGCCTTTCACAAAGTTTTCTTGGCCTGCTTTGTTCAACTTTCGCGGTCTTTTCTGCAGATCTTTCCATGCACTATTATGTTTGTGATGACATCACGCTAACTTATGTACAGAATATTTCTTGTTTGTAATGAAGAAGTGCTATTTTTTTTCAATTTCATGTAATAGGTTTGCCACCTCTCTTTCATCGGCATTGGTGAGTCATGACTGGAAGCTTTTTTCTCAGACGTTATCAAACCAGAATTATGCGCTTGTAAGCTGAATGGACCTATTCAGCCTGTGTGTTGGTGGATCACTTCTAGTTGGAGTTGTTGCGTTATCAGCTGGTTATCCGCACGACGTTGTTGTAAGTAGCTTTATTTCCACTTTTTTCCTGTTGAAATGGAAACTTGAATCACGCTTAGCGCTTAGGTTGTCGTTCATACTTTATCAACTTTGACTGAGGAATAGGAATGCCTCTAAGTGCATTACATTAAATATCGCATATCTTGAGCGAACCCCAAATTACCAACGCCTCGTGATTTAGTATTTGGCAGATTTGAATTTACCCCGTGCGAGGTTCAAACGCATGGGTGTGTACCTTTGAAAGCTGACGGAATATGCCATCAGACAAGATGCGTTAACGAAGGATCATGAACGGATGTAGCATTGCGAAGACGCGAATTTGCATGGGATATGACCGATACATTAGGTCGTGGCTAAACTCGTCCGGATCTATGGCCAATCCAACTGGCTGCACGTCAGGAGGTACGCCGCGCGCGGCGGCCGCTTCGCCGCGCACGCGCGTACCGATCTTGGGACCCATAGAGCTCCCCACATCAGAGACTCCCGGCGGCAGAGACACGGGGGTGGGGGTGGAGGCAGATACATGACTCAGTGCCATAAGTAACATTGCGCCTGGAGTGCTGTGTATTTGTTGAAGTACGTTGCGGCGTCGCTTGGCGAAAAATTCGCGCCGATCGTACCTCCTGACCGTCCCTCGATCCAACTTGCTTAACTGTAAGAAAATTTGGGAGCCGCGTTCAAAACAAAGCAAGAAAAAAATTTCTACTTACATATTCACCAGTGAATGATGAATGATATCTTGACAGTGTCCGGGGAAAAAGTCGATTTTGAGATTTTGTGCTTACTTGGGCCCACTCGCTATGCTGAATCCGAAAATCCACACTTGAAGGCGCGAAAACGGCGGAAAAGGGTTTTAACATTTACGGAAATCAGCGGGTGGGCGGCGTCTTCCCCACTGTGAATTCACGCTCCCAGCTTCCGGAGTAATCTTCTCGGCTCCGGTTTCGAGTCATGCGTTCGCACCTGGTCGGTGACGATGTCAGGGCGGCCAGCGGAATCAAGAAGATCGCTCCGAAAGCTGGGAGCTGAATTCACAGTGAGGAAAACCCTGCCCACCTGCTGATTTCACTCTTGCCTCAAAGCCCTTTTTCGCCGTTTTCGCGCCTCCAGTGTGGATTTGGATTAAGCATAGCGAATAGGCCGGATAAGCTCAAAATCACAGAATCGACTTTTTGTTCGGAGTCTGCCTCTGAAGGCAGTGTCACGGTAGAGTTTCGTCCTTTTTCTTTTGGAGTCTTTTCGCTTGAAGGAATGCATGTTTGCAGCGCACGTTTTTGGCGAAAATGAGCCTTTTCTAAAGCTTTCCTGTGGCCGTATTCATCAACGAACCTAGTGGGTTCCAGAACCCATTGGATTCACGGACGTATCCAATGGGTTCGCTAATCCAATGGGTTCGCTAACCCATTGGATTAGCGAACCCATTGGATACGTCCGTGAATACCGGTTAAGTGGCTTTTCGTGGGTTCCGGAACCCACTGGGTAGGCTTAACTCACTGTGTTCCCAAACCCACTAGCTTTGTGAATACCGATCTCGTGGGTTAAGCTTACCCTATGGGTTCCGGAACCCATTGGGTTCATTGATGATACGGCCACTGGTGCGCAATCAGTGGAGAATGAGTAGATGTACTAAGTGGGCGCTGCCCGGAACGAGGGAGGCAGGGCGCGAAGTACTTGGCACATCTTCACAATACGGAGTAGGAAAGCTTCGGAAAAGCTCGGTTTCATGCTTTGAAAAGCCCGGATATGGTTTCCTCATAGCGAAAAGTCCGAATAAGTGAAAAAGTGGTAAACGAAATCCTGCCGAGACACTTCCTTTTTGCGCTTTTTCATATTTTGTAATTATCAGTACGATACACCTTGATCGGATGGGGTCTGCCGGATTGGATGAGTTGCATCACGGAGTTCGCGCTGGTCAAGCAGATTGTAATTTTCACAGTCTAAACATATTTATGATTTGTACGGAATATTATTTTTTTCACGATGTCGTCAAACTCATAGCCTCATTTGAGAACGAACCTGTATGCTAGGTTGTCGAAACCATCCGTTTCGCACACCTGATTATTGAGATTTTTTCTTTGTGGTAAAAGTATAGTAGTATTTTCATAATTTGGGGTTTCATAGCAAAAAATTGAACTATAGTATTTTTTCGAGTGACGGTTCTGGAATTTGTTGAAACTGGTCTTGGGAAAAGATGTAGGAAAAATAGAGGAGAACCGGGCCAGAGTTCTTGCTGCATATCAGCATCAGGCCGTCGCCTACTTTACTACAAGGATGAGTCACACCCACCATCAGCGGTTCGTGTTTCCAACGAAGGATATGAAATGCAATTTGTGAGAAAATGTCCTTTCTAAAATAGTACATTGTTTTTTTGTTGTGACAGCGAAGCAAACATTTGCGCACGGTATGAGTGCTTGGTAGCAGCGAAGACACGAAACTGAATTAGCAAACAAATCAACGACTTTGTCAGCATTCTCAAAAAGTTCTTGTAGGCTGAGAACCACTTCTGTGTCTCTTGTCAATAATATAACGATGAGGATAATCTATCAGACGTGTTAACCATGTATTTGTTTACAGGACTTTGCTACATTAATAGACTGGTTAAGAACCAGCAGCGATGGCTCTTCTCCAGAAAGTAAGGGATCTACTCGGCTTCGGGGCGGAAGTGAAAGCCGAAGAAAACCCTCCGAAAAACATGAATGAAGTCATATCAAGATTACCAGTATGTTTTACATTCTTAGCTAACCTTGTTTTATCCTATACTTAGCGCTTACAGGAATCATTTCATAACTATATGAAAAAAGAGTTACCATATCGTCGCGCTGCTGCCCTCGTTTTTATTGCTATTGTACTCGGGATGGGTACACCGCTTTGGTATCGTACAACTCAAACATATCGTGCACATTTCGAGACATTTCCCGAGGATATGACCATCTCTGTCAATATTCGGTGAGGCTAAACATACGTACACACCTTGTCACCCTTTGAGGCATCCTTGAAAAGGTGTGCCTAATCAGATTAAACAGCTGGTAATCATTGTTTGCTCTCATTAGGCAGCATCTCAAAATAACCATTTCATTCTTATTTTTTGCGTACGAGATATGGAATGCTACATATCTGATACGGGCATGTGATCTGCTTGTCGCTATCAAAGGGCTGTTCTCCGTTTCTTTGGGGAAATCGCACCAGAAGTGAGTGCTTATTTACTTTATTCTAGGATCAACCTTGCAACCACCAATGAAAGTTTAACGGAGGAATTAAATTCTATGACCAAGGTGTTACTGAATAAACTCGCGGACATTGAAGTCAAAGCGCCATTGAAAATTAGCTGGAGCATAAAAAATCTGGGCTTGAGGTAGATTTGTCAAGCATATCTTGCAATTCCTACTCTTTCCATTGTTTTTTTTTGCAGAGATCTGCATTCTTTGGAGACTGAGCGCTTGCCGAAATCTAATTCACTCGAAATTTTTGCTGCCATCGTTTCACCGCAACAGTGGCCTCATTTCTCTGCTACCAGTATATATCTCGGGCGTGGTCGTTGGGCTGCAGTTCAATATACGTCTGACAGCAGCAAATTTGAAGAGAGGCTGCAGAATCTTATTTGGGAGGCAAGGCATTATCTCTTTGGGTTTTCACTATATCTCGTATACTTTTTAGCATTATAGGTGCTCATAGATGTCCCCCATCTCAACTCCATTGTTAAGCGCGATCTTCGCGAGAAATTGCAGCCATGGCAAATAGCTGCCTTATCGCCATCTCAACAGGTATGTTTTTTCTCAAGCAAGTTTTTCTTTAGTGATTCTTGCTTCTTTGTTTAGAAGCGATTGATTTGGGATTCTGCTACACTATCTATGGACTACATCATTCAAGTAGTTCATGTACATGACAATGCTAATTCGTCAGTGATTTCCTCGAATGATATGATGCAAGCGATGAGGATGTTTGCGAAAAGGCTTGAACCGGTCACTCATTTACAGGTGTGTCCGTTCTCATCGTTACCATATTAGATACCAGGGTTATAATTCGATCTACCCATTCCTATCATTACAACAACGTCTTACTTGCTTGATCAAGCACAAATATGTGTCGCGATTTGCGAAGGATTGGCCCATTTCCATAAGCACATCCCCTCTGCGTTCCTTTCAAACTGTCACTTCCACGATTGACATGATCGCACGCTCATCTTATGCAACAGAAAATGTGGTGCTTACCTTGACGAAAGCGTGGTGCTCCCCTTAATCCGTTCAGTCAAAAATATTGTTGAGTCATTTTTTTTGGGTGGTATCGCGTCCAATCCGTGAACTGTTCTACTTGAAGTGTGACGTAGAGGGTCGCTGGATAAATATTCTTGACTTGAGTTTGAGTGGATGCCGAAGCTTTGAAGCAGGGAAGACCTAGAGCGATACGCTGTAGCCTTGCTTCAAATATGTAAATTAGGGGAAAAAACCAAGCAAATATCGAGGAGAAATTTGAATACGATGAGTTCCACTCAAAAACCATGGTAGACAATATGTGATTCCACCTTTATTCAATTTCCTTGGAGCGATATCGTTGGACATCGGATTTAAAAATTTCCCCGATTTTTGCTTGGGCTTTCTTGTATTTTATAAATCAAATCTTTTCCATTTTTTGAGCTGTAGAATTAGCCTGCAGTATGAACGGAGATTTCTTCTGGGTACTTCAAAGGTATTGCCTGATTACGCGCATAGGTATTATGTGCATTTGTGGATTTCTGCGTCGAGATTTCAGTCTTGCTCAAGGCTCGAAAGAAAAATGCAGGTGCTTTACTGGTAGCGGAGCTGCGTACGAGATACGTTGGCTAAGGCGGATGATGGTAATTTGCAAATGCATACTTTTCTAAGTTTCAGATTAGTGCTGAACACCTGTGGGATTTCGAAGTCTCCAACTTCTTTGAAGACGATGTGCAGGGCCGGATTACGCTTTCTCAGCCAGAAACGGAGCGGCTTCTCAAAGAGGTTTGTAAATATGTACAAAGTTTTCTTGTTATCGGTATTATCTATAACCAAAATCTCTGTCTTCTTGCTTTATATATCTTTTGCAATGATGCTTATTGTGTGCATCGAATGAGCTCATCTTTATGTTATCTGTGTTGCAGGTAGACTCTCAGCTCCAGACGGTTGAATCATCTTTCCCTGTGCTGAAAATTTTACTGATTGAGAAGTCCGAGCCTGTGGTCATGCTGGATACTTTCGTGAGCTGTTTTGAAGGCATTCCTCGTGACCTGCTCGAAATTGAATTTTGAGGGCGAAGACAGTCGAGGCATTGCAGTAGCCTCGTGGGGGGCTGTCATACCTCGCATAAGCCTAGGGGAAACGGAAGAAAGTGCACAGCCGGCTGCGAGAGCATTGGCTGCTCTGAGAGTGCTGCTCGGTATGGACAGCGAACTATCAGCTACATGGAAACGTGATCCTGTACCTCTTGCTGATTGGGAGATTGAACGGTTGCGGCTGCGTGCTATTGTGGACAACGCCATGCGAGCTAAATCTGCTGTGCATGCTTTGAAGGTGAGCTTAAATCATTTGCCAACATGTGATAGAGTCTTGGTGTTATAGGCGTTAACGGAGAAAATAACAAATGTTGTAATTGGTGACGATGTTGCCGCAAAAGCGAATCAAGCCGTAAAGTTGGTGACGGAGGGTCTATCGGACCCTGAAGCCCCACAACTCGATAAGGTTTGCAACGGTTTCTGTAAATTTGGTTTCGATTTGAGCTCCGATATCGTTAATAATGGTAAATTCCCTTTGTTGTCTACATTTGATCACTCTCTGTTCTGCCCAAGCGATGGTAGCCGCTCATGTCTTTTGTTGAGCCTTATCACAAATATGTCGATTCACATTTCTTTTTTTTCTTGTCCTGTCATCGAGTAGTAGTCGAGGGTGTTCAGTATTATGAGGGATGGCCTTAGGTTGCCGACAACTTTTGCCGCGGTTGTCGAGGTTCCCGGCGTTGCTAATGTTGACGGGGTTGATAGTGGCACAGAACATGAAAATAATGGCATGACTTGGATGAAATCACAAAGTTTCTTACGAAGTTTGAGGAAGTCAGCAAACGGAAAAGGCTCTTGCGAATTCGGCAACGCCGGCACCCTCTGGTAACTTTGACAACACCGACAATCACGGCAACAGTTGTACGCAACCTATGGTCAAAAAAATCGCAAGCTTGCATGAGATCGGAGAGTTTTTGGAAAAATTCGGTGTGAGTGGGCCATTCTTTGATCGCGAATTTTTTTCCTTGCCTTTGTAAAACTCTGCTTGCTACTACCCTTCAGTCAGTGCAAATAGTGCTTGCGTTATCGACTCAACTAAGTGTCACCTCCGGAAGCTCAACTTTCGAATATATAGTTGATAATGCTTTGAGACCTGCAAATTCGGCTCTTCATGACAGACAGCACATAACATATAACACATAGTGCTGTCAGATTATAGAAATTGTTCATTCTATGTACTGCATTTTTGGCGACTAGAGGCTCTGTCTGTAGCATTTGTGATTTATTGTTCGCTACTACCTGTTCAGTTGGTGATGCAAAAATCTGTAGATTTTTTCTCTTAAAAACTCTAAGAATTTGCTGAAAAATGCTAGACTTCAGCCCATAAATCCAAAAATGAATTAGTGGGAATCCTGAGTAACAAGAGTATATTCGATTCGCCCAAATGTTCAACAAAAGAAGCGATGGAATATAATAAGGTTGGATCTACTAACGTTCTTTGCAGATAGCTGCTGGTCGTACGCTGGCTGACGAGGCACTCTCGCATCCGTCGTTGCTCGCCATGCTTTACTTTCCGAAGGACCAAACGATGGCCGTATACCTTCCCATCATGCTGCCCACCCTCATTCCTCTTATCGGTTCTATCGTTGCTCTTTGCAAATGGGCTCTTGGATGGGCATATTAGACTTTTTGACTTATTCTACGGGAGTAGGTGTGGAAAAATCAAAGTCAAATGATGTTAAGGCGGGATCATCTCACATTTATCACTTTGTTATTTTATCTATTGTGTCATACCGATACATATCCATTCGTTCTAGTGTTGCCATTGTATTTGGGAGTTGCACATATGGATTTTCCCAGAAATTGTAGTCTTGAGTGCGCGTTTGCTCTGCCGCAGCTGCCGCTCACACTTTTTTCTTTATTACCTCGCGTTTCATGTGGCTTTCATGCTAGTATGATATTGAAGTCTGAAACATCGCGGCTATTGCTTAATGATCATTGTATAGCATTGCAATCGGTTGTGTTTTTCATCTGTGCCTAATTTTTTTGGTTGTTACCTATGGAAATAAATGAATCAGATGCTTTTTGTAGCTCGAAATTTTAGCAGAAGAATTTTTGCTTGAATTTAGCTCTGTCAGTCCGGAAGTGAATGACATGGAGAAACGTTGACCTTTTTAAAGAGATCTACGAGGAGCATAGGGTCTTGGCTCGTAAAAATTCTCGGGCACTTTTGTTAATCATTACCTGGTGAAGAGGATAAAAGTGGAAAAACGGAAAGCAAATTATACGGCAAAGTTTTCTCTAGTAGTGTGTCAGAATCACAATCTGCAGGCTCTTTGAATCGAATTATTTCTTATTTTACGTGGTCGGCATGACAATAAAATGGATAAGAATTAATCTGCTACTTCTGGAGGGGGAGGCCTATTTATTTAGATTTATTCCAGCGATAAGAAAACGATATAAAAGCATGTGAATAAAACAGATGAAGACTTTACAAGTTTTTGATCACATAATGTGGACAATGTGCCAAAGAATAGACACTCAAAAATCTGAAAACATTATCATTAGGCTAAAGTAATTAGATGAGTATGAATATGAAATTCGCCTTTCACCGTAAAAGTTTCTTTATAAATTGTGCCAGGTAAATCGCAACAGTTTTTCAGTGCTTTCCAAATGGGATTAAACCATTTAAATCACTTGAAAAGACTCGCAAAAAGTTATATAATAAAATTAACATGTCTGAAAACACTGCTAAACAACCTCCCAGATATAATGACGGTATATGAAGTTTAATATTGCCTAATGCTAAGCAAAGGACTTAGTAGGAAGACAGTTATTAACAGTCAAAAAATGTGTACTTACTTTTGAGGCACCCCGTATACTCACTATATTTGCGAAAACAAAAGCCAGAAAATCAAAGAAGCTTCGAAATCTCGTCAACTACTAGGTCTAGTTAGAACTCATGATTGAGTTTTCTACGGGTGCCTTCACACCGCGCCGGCAGCCGCCGCTGGCAGCCCGTAGCAGCCGCCAGCAGCCGCCAGCAGCCCGTAGCAGCCGCCAGCAGCCCGTAGCCGCCACTGGCCGCTTTTAACATAGAGGCGCAAATCATCAAATTCTTAATACTTTGCGTGCGCCTGCCCACACTTTCCATCTTAAACGCCGATGTGATATGATTGAAGCAGAACATACATAAAAAATTAACAAACAGCAGCCTGCAGGGACTGGACGCATCCAAAGTCACAAGAAATCACATTGCGAAGAAACTTTGGCGAAATATGTTCAATTACGAGAGGGAAGCTGAGCATCAATAGGATAACCAATCTTTGGTAACAAGATAAGATACAAGATAATAACAACAATGGACACAAGTATGATGATATATGAAATCAAATTGCGGCAACAGGAAGGAAAAAGCGTGGAGGATGGAGGGCGTGGGCGGCTGCACTTAAAATAGTAAGAATTTGATGACTTTGCGCTTATATGACAAAAGCGGCCAGCGGCGGCTACGGGCTGCTGGCGGCTGCTACGGGCTACTGCGGGCTGCTGGCGGCTGCTGTGGGCTGCTACGGGCTGCTGGCGGCTGCTGTGGGCTGCTACGGGCTGCCAGCGGCGGCTGCCGGCGCGGTATGAAGGCACCCTACTTTTGATAGACTTAGTTGTCATGGAAATACAAGACACCAGTCAACTTCACCGCAAAAATGCTGAGAATCATAATCTTTGTTCTATCTCATTTATGATAGTCAGAATTTATCATAGCTGATATAAGTGATGGGCAGAAGAAAAGTCTCGTAGGAAAGATATGGAATTCTTTGAGTATTATTCGATGATTTATGAGTTTAATGTGTTACTGTAGGGCTGTAACATCAAAATGCTGATGAAAGATGATTCCATGATTCATCCCTCTGATTGTGCTCCTTTTTGTCATGCCCGTGAAGCTTAGTGAAAGACAGAGCGTAGTCTCGAGAACTCATTTGCGTGGTGGCAATTTCATTTCAAGGTGCACCTGGTTTAATTCCACGCTCCCTCACACGCTTTCCTAGGCTCCAATTGATTGGCAGCCTCGGCTGGTAACCCATCTGAGACGTTCAAGAACCTGTGTTTCGCTAAGCATTCTTTTTTCATCTTCCATTTTTGAGGAATTTATATATTTTCTTATTATATCGATGTTATCTGGAGGAAGTTTCAAGTCTTCCAGATTATGAAATCAATAATTGCTCATTTCCAGGAATCAGAGAATTCAGATTACAAATAACAATGACTGTAAAGCTTTACAGCATCTTTTCAACTCCTCCAAGTTTGCTAGTCGCATCTCATTGGCCTTGAGCCCTCGTAATACGGTAGCGCTGCCGTGTGGGCGTGGCTTCTCTCGCGCCACGCCGGAACTCCTCGGCGGGGGAAACTGATGTCATTCGTACTACACGCACTTTTTAGTCGATTTTTCGCGCCAAACCTCATTTTGTACACACCCTTGCGTGATTCGATAAAGAAAAGAGAAAGAGAGCTTGTTTAAGCCTTCTAAGCCCGTCTCACCTAATTGCATGCCATGATTCATAATGAAAAGGGCATTCAGCACAAGAGCTTAACTTCTTCCTTGTTATGCATGTTTAAACTCCGGATTTTAGATTTTTTAGCTCTTATTTGGTGTATAGTGATTCTTAGAAGCATCCTTTTCCGAGTTGCTCTTTTTCATAAAAATATGTGATTCTGAAGTTCTTCTTTTTTTTATCGAGATTTTCGAGGTGTGTTCCAAATCGTTTACGCACCTCAAACCTTTTTGAAATGTTGATTTTTCGCACGATTTGTTTCAAACTTCATTTTTTTCGCAATAAGCCGATTCTTTTAGTTTCTAGATAAGTCTCAAGGTACCTGCGATAAATGATTGCGAAACCATTTTTTATCAAAATTATTTGTTACTCGTACTTAAATTTATCTCAAGCTGATACATCATCAAAGCAACATATTGCTATCCACATTGCGATTGCTGCTTCCAAATGAATGGACGACTTATGCAAAGCAAATAATTGCATCTAAATTTAGCGATAATTTTGAAAATTTTTTAAAAAATTTAACGATAATTTTGACGCAGCTGCTATCATACGGTATCTGGCATTCAAAATGTTAGCTTACTTGAAATCTTGAGTTATGCTAAAAGAAAAAATGCGACTTTTTACAAAATCAACACAAAATAACTATCTCACAAGATTTCGAAGCTGTACTAGCTTTATTTGAACAATATGTACACAGCTGCCAGGCATATTGTCATACTCCCTCCCAGTATATTCTCACGCCCGTAAATTCACGTGATGCATATGAGAATGTAAGCCATAACCTGAACTTTGCACTTTTTCGGCAAATCAGAAGCCGTCTACAGCCATTGCTGAATCACATGACTCAGCCCTTCTCCTCCAAGCCTCTAAATAAAACTGAGTCCGTAACCCATGTGAAAATACGGGTAACGCGCATTATTCGCACGGAGAACTTGGAACCTCACAACTTTTCGAAAAATTAATTTTACAATTTTCTGTGCACATTTTTGGAAAGCTACTGGCACAAGGAACAGAAAAAACATGAATAATAATAAGAAGAAATGCTTTCAATATACAATGTATAAATAACCAAAACGCCTCGTTTCGTTCCTGCCTTTAGACGGAGTGTAAGTACTCACTGATCCTCCCGGAACCCTCAGTAAGGAAAGAAGGTTGTGTAAAACTTATTTTTGACACTGGGAAGTAAGTTTGTCTGGGAAAAAAAAGCGTATATGAATTGTTTAGAAAGTAAGATTCCAGGAAATTGAGTAAGTAAGAACAACTTTTTGGAAATAGATGTGTGTCATACATGATTGTATATATTTATTGTATTGAATTGATAAAAGTGAAAATTCAAATTTATGGAATTCAAATTGAAATCAGTCAAATTATTTTTGAATTGAAATTCAAAACTTTATGAAATTTTACGTAATAGGATTTCTCCTTCGGATTTTAATGCACTCGAGGGACTTTTCGAGGACAGACCGTCGCTAGCTCGTATCTCAATGTAGAATAGAAAATGGAACTAGTCCGCATTTTTGGGACGTGTATTACCCGAATGACGAGCTTCTGCAGAGCTTCCCCACAGACGCATGCTCAGCTCTTACTGAGGCCGTGTTTCAAATGCACATCCCTTCTACCTGCTTCCAATAGCACTTTCGCTTCTAGAACTCCCATTTGCGCTGCGTGTACTTCGTTGGAATCGCCATTCCCCATAGAAAGGAGAAGTAGAGACGTGACTTCTTGTGAAGGCGTGGCTGGTAGAAGTCGTTCGGGCGACGGCCGCGCCTCTATCGATTGCACAATCCTGCGACCGTTTCCCTCGCCGAAACTACCGTACCCACGCTTTGGTGTGGTTATACTGTGATAGCATTTAGTGTTCTCAGCCTTTCTCAGATGTCATCATGTATGGTACATACTAAAATTTTACAGATAAGTCCGCTATTATGACCCTGACAAGTCTTTTTCAAATATGTGCGTCCTCCATATAAGTCCTTTTTTCAACTGTAACTATCCTAAAAACTTATCAGATAAGTCCGCAATACGTACCTGCCGAGTATGGACTTATCTGCGGGGGACTCCATCTGTACGATTTCAGGGTTTAAGGTGAACATTCATATCTATCGTTCAACATCTCGACTTTCAACTTAATTGAATCAATATTTGCACTGCAAAGCGCCTAATTTACGAATTATGGTATTCTTTTTGTTCTTTTTTTGCTTTTTTCATTCCTGAATAATTACCTTAATTTCACGCGTATAAGGCGCACTTTTTCGAATTTTAAAGCAAGTCCCGATAAGAAATCCTTACATCGCACGGTTCTAGCAAGCAATATAAGCACGTTAAGGGTCCTTTGGTTGCAAAGTCCTTTGGCTTGTCTGGGCTGGTCGATTTTGAAAAAAAAATCCCCCATGCTTTATACGCGTGAAATTAGGGTAGTTCAACACTGACAGATCTTCAACAAAATTTCTTTTTTGACTTCCCCTGTTAATCCTGGATAACCCTGTACAGCCTAAAATGCTATCTAGCATTTGGAAGCCGTTCTCAGCTCATCTGGGATGCCCCAATAATTCTTGCACTTAAATACTTTTTTGACTTAGCATATATAATATCTCGTAATTCTCCCACAGTTTTCGCCGGTCTCATTGTAGGTGTTTCACTACATTTGAAACCTTTGTTTTTTCTTTCTTTTTTAGTTTTCCATTGTTTCATTTGTCATCGTTTTTCCTGGATTTTTCCCACAATGCTTCTCCTCTAGTCGATGTTCTCGAGAAGCGATTAAAAAACTTTGCGACTATAACGTTAATTTACCATCGTGTTTTTGAGCTACCAGTGAGTAGAAGTAGCTGTGTGAAGTTTACTCATCTTCTAAAAAATTTTGGTTCAGATTCTCAAAGCAATCTTGCCCGCATTCACTTTTTGCGAACGACAATACCTTTGCAAAAATTTGAATGGTTTTATTTATTTTGCAAAAAAATCTCGATTCAGAATTCTTAGCCCCCCTCTCCCACTGATTTTTTGCGAAATACGTCTGCAAATTTTGTAAATCATTTAGATTTGCAGAACTCTGCTAGAAATGCACGAAAAATTTCTCCTAAGTTAAAGCTCAAAGAGGGAAGAAAGATCAGCAGCTGCTTTTTCTTTCGTTAACGAGTCTTTAGTAATGACACACAGTATCGTATGCGTGGTGTGCAACGAGGGGGTCCTATGGTAACAGCTCGGTTCGAGTGGAAATTGTTTTCTATCCCACACAAACACTATTTTGCCCCTGACGCAGGAGTCAAATGAAATAACGCGACAACAATAAGGAAGTGAATGTGATTGTTCTTGTGCGTGCACTGGGGACCATGAATTCTTCAAACATATGCGAAATAATTTGAGGAGAGCAATCACCGTTTTGCTGATGGGTGAGAATCAGCTCATTCTAAGTATCTGGGCATAAAACTGAAGGATGCTTTTTAGCATGCATTTAGGAACACTACCGGGATGTTGACTAGGAATTCTGAAAGAGTATGCTAGCCAAAAATCGTCACTTCGTAGTCCATACCGCAATTTCTAGCTTACACCGATTTCTTCCATAGTTTAATGACTGTAGACACTTGACTAATTTTTGTTTCCGAGAGGTGCGTTAGTTAAGCAATCTGGAAACTTATTCTGGAAATATATGGATTTTTTTTTTCAAAGATAGCAACCCGCAGTCTCAAAAAAAAGTGCGCGGGGGCAATTAGCTGCAAAAATTTGGGCCAACTTTAGTTATGATAAATTTTTTTCCAGATTTTCAGGTAGGAGATCTTTTTCTGCAAATCCAGTTTGAATCTTTATAAGTTGTGAAGAATTGTCTTTGCATATGAATAAGAGCAATTTTTTTGCTTCATGACTTGTGTGAACCCCTTACCAAATTTTGTGTCCCTATCAAGCCCGTCCTCTTCGGTTCTTTTTCCTTCTTCCTCCTTTGGTCATTGAGCTTCGATTTATCTACCAGCAACACGATAGTGCTTTGAGCCAACAAGTAACGTGCTTGTTTAAAACCGTAAGATCTTACAGACAGGTCTGGAACTCAGAAATGCACGCTTTGAGTTGTCGCCTTACACATTATGGCTACCCTAAAATCTTGTCAGAGAAGTTTGAAGACTGTCAGATAGGTTATCTTTAGGAGGGCTTACCTGCGGGGAGGTCTTGTTTGTGAGATTTTGGGGTAATGTGCTTTCAGGACTTTATCTGTACTAAAATCCAATTGCTGTAAGCGTTTGTATTCCTGTTAATGCAGCCTATCCATTATCACCAAAATAAATAATTATAAACAGACTTTAACAGTTTGCAGACTTTGTCTCCAAAATTTACGTTTATGACGGTTTGTCTCTCATGAGTAGCTACAGAACAGCTCTTTTCTTGTCCTTTTGATCGTCTTAATTTTGAGCAAATGACTCTCAAATGTTGGTTTCTTCACAAGCACATGTGTCTATTACCAGAAATATTAGAATAAGAGTAGATTTGAATTTTAAAGGTTGCTCTCCAATAGCATTTGAATGGAGTCTGCTGTTTCGCCTTATCACGTGCTTTCGGTTCTTCCAAGTTGCTTAGTGACAATGTTTCTTTACCACAACTGCATTGTAGTATGATTGGTTTGTGCGGGTATCAAGTGGAACGGGGTAACACTGCTTGTCTTACAAATCAAAATAAGTTCACTGCTTACACTTCTCAAATATATTGGCAGGATTCGGACCTATTTGATGTGGTTATTTCAATGGTTCTTTCAATTTTCGATACTGCTTCGCTTTACTAGCAAGAAGTTGATCGTCTTAAATTGCAATCGCTAAATTTTCAATAAAGGAAGTGGCAAGGAAGTGAAAGGCCTTGCTGTTAGTTTTACGAAGACTTCGAACAACGACGGAGGTTATAACACGTGGTAAACTCAGTCAGCTTAGATGAACTACACTTGTACTTATCTAACTGGGTGTACGCCTACCACTTCCCCATTCTCTAAGGATACAAAAAGTGTACCGGGGAGTAGGGGCCAGGTGAACACATGCCTTCGTTTATGGATCTCATGTTTTCATTTCAATTGTAACTAATGGAAATAACGTGGAAATCTGTAGGGTAAATTCGTAAGTTAATGCGACGCTTTAGTAGAAACTTGAAAGGAGAGTTGGAAGACTGCACAGTACTTAAGACAGTGTGTGAAAGTGACGCTGTCAAGAAAATTACGAAAGTGTCGAGCCTTCCGATTTCATTTGTTGTATGCTTGCCTTTGCCATGACGGGTTCAAAGCCGTTTTAGATAACATCATTTCAATGTAAAATCAAATTTCAAGTGTCATTTGTTTTGAGCTAACAACATCGCAAAAGAATTGGACTTAGTATTCGAAGAGAATAAACTCAGCGAAAAACTGTAATTTTGCATTGTTCTACGATGGCTTAGGGTCAAAGGGGACTTGGTAAAATTTTGGGAAAGTCAAGTGAACTTCGTTTTTTGCATTTTTTAAAAGCCTCCTTGTGCAGAGCTCTGTATGGAAGGCCTTGAAATGGGACGAGAATGAAAGTAGAAACAAAATCGTACACATTCTGCATCAAATTTTTCAAATTTGAGCTTGTCCTTGTTGCTTTGCATATAGTCAATTATTTGCCACAAAAACACTTTTATATAGTGTTTGCCGTCCACTTTAAAAAATTGTCAAAGTGCTTATATTCTAATTTTTACTCAAAATTAGGTTCTGCAAAATGTTCGGCTTCAATATGATTTTTGAAAACTGATTTTTCAAATGACTTGTTTATCTGAAGACCTCGATCGCTGATTAGTATGTCGAATGCATGTAGAGATTTTCTGGGAACTTCTTGTATAAGTGCTGTATAGGCAACATGGAAGAGTTCACCAATTTGTGCTCGGCTCAGTTTTTTTTTCAATAATATCCGGTTATGGTTATAATCATGGTGTGATTTGTCGTCAGAAATTATTCAAGTTAGAAAGGAGAATCCAAGCATACGTGATACACATGTTCCACAGATACTAAATGAAAAAAATGAAAATTATTATGATACTTGGTAATCTCATATCAGCTCTAGTCCCTATATACCCTAGTTTTCTTTTCCTTTATCGACCATCGTCCACGCAGTAGAGGACCCAACAATTATTTTCAGGAGTGTATTTGTGAGAGAGTTTCTCACTGAGAAAAGAAAGCGCTCCCCTTCGAATTCTGGGTGCTTGACTAATTTTTAGAGAGCTTATATCCCTAAAAAGAGAGCATGGCAGGAGTTACGCTATGAATTCTTTTATATGGCTGACATTTTTGCAAGATTTTCTGGAATTTCTGCTGTATGTACACAATTGGAAGCCTTTCGCTCAGCTGACCTTGGTATCTCATAGCAGGACTTTTCCTATATTTTTGCGTCTTATCCTTTTTCACCTCCGTTTATCATTTTTGCTTCGTTTTACATTTTTCGTCTCGCATAATGCTTTTGATCTCAACATCATTTTAGACAAAGTGAACGGGTTTACAAGCTTTGAATGGGAGTTTTAAGCTCCCGGCACAAAACTGAGCCGAGAGGCGACGGAGTGCAGGTTTGATTTCTCATATCTTATTGCTACCAATCATTTTCTGTAATTGCTTATTATTGTAACTTTAGCTCGCATTCGATCCGGACGAGAAGTGGAGTAACTTATACAGGGAACGAGAGAAGAATCATCTCTATAAATGGGTTGGAGTGAGGAAAGGTAATCCGATTCTTTTTCTAACGAGTACCACAAATGCTTGTATCTGCGTTAGGCCCCGGACAGACTTCACGCGATTTGATCGTCGCGACTGAATCGCGACGAGACAACTGTTACAACATCATTCCAGCCGATCAGCTTGCATTTCGGTTGTGATACTTTTCCAGCCCGAAATTTTTGAATGTGAAATGAAAATGAATGGAAATCTCGGCGACTGAATCGCGACGATCAAATCGCGTGAAGTCTGTGCGGGGCCTTAAAGGAGGAATGTAATTTTTTAAAGCCCTATAATTTTTGAAAGCTTCATATTCTTATCAAAAATGAATAAGCATTTCCTAGAAAATGCGTAGTGCCGCCTAATTTTGATTGTTATCTCTGCTGCGCATTTCTCAATTGATATTGTTTATTGATTATTAACACATGTTTGATTAGATAATAGAGATCTGGAGAGTACAGAAAATACTAATATGAGAAATCTATAACTTCATTCAAAATTAAAATTTTCAAATAATTTGAATTTTGCTAATTTAAGGAAGTTTGTGCCACCATCGGACAATAAGCGCTACAGAACAGAAATCTAGAAAGGAGCTAGATTTGAAAGATTTTACAGATTTTTCATCAAAACCGTCTACTTTTTGACATCATAACGCTCCCATATAAGGATAGGCAGACATTAGCGGCACCCAGGATTTCCGTTCGGAGGGGAGGGGGGGGGGGGACAAAAATTTTTTAGAATTAGAGCGTGAGGTTTTTCATGATGTCCCAGAATTTTGCGGGTCCACAAAAATTTTGGAAAGAAGTGGGCGTGGCGGTAAGCACCCTTCGAAGAAATTTTTATGCAAGGCTAACTTGAAATTTTAGGAATTTTCAGAAACTATCCCAGTTATTTACGGGTACATACCACTTGCATATTTTTTCAACTCATGTGAGTAGCTCTGAATTTTTTCTACCCATCCTCGGATCCTCGGGAAGGAAGGGGGGGGGGGACACATTTGGGTTTTAGAATCTTGCGCATTGAAGCATGAGATAGAAATCCGAATACTTCGATCAGCTCCGCTAATTCTTTCAAAATGTTGTTCATATTCGCCTAGCGTTCTCAGCTTACTTTAAGACATGATATCGCTGTAGTTCCATTATTGAATTGAGCAGGACGCGTGACACCAGCCGCGTTTGTTACTAGGTTACAGGGACCAAATTACGCCAACACCTAGCACTGGCTTTTCCGCATTGAAAAAAGTCAATTGCAGTTGAAAGAAGCAATTATATTTGCAGGTGGAGATCTGATAAATATCTACGAGCGAGATGGAGAAGACGGGGTTCTGAAGTTCGCTGACGAAAAGATGACATCGATGCTGTATGAAGATGGCAGAGAACCACATCGCATCAAAATTCAGGATTATGTCAAGTGGAAGAAAGCAGTGGTCAGTATAAAACAGCTGAATATCTCACCTTTACCCGAAGATGTTCTTCTTTTCAGAATGTACAACTTGGTCTAAGCGAGATGCATGACAATGAATCTCTTGAAACCAAGTTCAAAGAGCATGATGCTCTATGGAAGTTGAACAAGCGCGGTGTGGAGGGAGAAAATATCATACACCTACTGCTAAATAGGTATATAACTTGATATAGCATTTTATTAGCCATGCGATGATTGAAAAATTTTGCTGAAATAACAATTAGATAAAGTCTCCTTCACTAATTGATGAAAGAGAGAAATTCATGAATTACATTCTTCGACTTCTCCAAACATGTGAGTTTGACAAATTGTATGAAATGTATTTTGGCTGCTGGAATTGAAAAAACAACAACATGAAAGTGAACTTTTCCCTTAACTGATTTTATTTGCATAATCAAAAGCAGTGCAAAAGTGCTTTTTTACCTTAGTGGTGTATACCGGTTCTAGGCGTCTTTCTCTTGATCTTGATTTACAAAAGTTATAGCAGAATTTTTATGAATGCTTTTTTAGGGAACAGCAAGTGTGCTACGAAATTGCGCGAATATTGCTCAAACGATACCCAGGAATGGCAAATGACATCTATATGGGTGATGAGATGTTCGGTATGAAATTCTTGCCATTATGTACTTAACACTAAGAATTTTTCTTGTTAGCATATTCATGTGCATAGATCTTGTCAAAAACGAGAATTTTGAGGTGTTTTTTTTTGCAGGACAGACAGCTCTGCATCTAGCTATAGTACATGACGATTATGAGACGGTCCAGCTGCTACTGCAAAATAAAGCGGATGTGAATGCTAGAGCATGTGGGAACTTTTTTCTTCCCGAAGAATACAAGACCACAAATCGAGTTACCGATTATCAAGGTAAGCAATTTTGAATTCACAATGTTTTCTGAAGGCTAGGGCCGACTTTTGAAACAAATTTTTGAAGCTAAAATATTGTAATATTTAGGATACGCCTACTACGGAGAGTACCCTTTGGCATTTGCTGCATGCTTCGGCAACAAAGACATCTACGACTTGCTCATTCAGTATGGAGCCAATCCGAATTTGCAGGATTCTTTTGGCAATACTATACTCCATATGTGTGTCATCAACTATAGCAGTGTCAGTGTTTGGGACTTACTCTTAACCTATCCTAGATAATTTGGTAGAAACCAAAAAAATCCATTTTCAGTCAATGTACTCTTACGCTGTTCGACATTGGGCCAAACCTGCCGACCCGCATGTTATAAACCATGCTGGTCTCACTCCACTGACTCTTGCCACCAAACTTGGTCGAAAACACATTTTCGAGGAAATGCTTGAACTGATGAAAGTGGTAAGTTCTTACGTTTTGCACACAAGACAATGCAGTTCAGGTTTTGAAGTGCAAATGTATGACAGTATCTGATAGCAAAGCTATTGTAAGTTCATAACATGACTTCTAGGAGTTCTGGCGGTTTTCTGACATGACTTGCTCAGCTTATCCATTGAACACCTTAGATACCATACAACCGGATGGATCTACCAGTAAGTTCAAACACTTTAGTTGTACTTCTTTAAGTGCACAAATCCTATTCCACATGCTAGAAAAAGTGATTATTAGGAGGATTCCTCCACTATATAAGGCGTACACAATTACTCTATTGAATTCAGAAGTTTTTTATTTGTATCGAGTAAATTTTAAGAGCACCTTGTCAGTTTGATAATCGAACTTGCGGAGCTAGTTAAGGTAGGTAAGATTAACGGGAAGTGGTGTAATTTTTGTATAAGGCTTGATATTGGTCCTTTCTTCTCTCTTTCAAACACATAGGGCATATCTTGTTTTTCTCAAATAAGGTTAACAAGAAAAGTCACGGTCGTAGTTTGTTGGATGCGTTAGGCCTCGGACAGAGTTCACGCGATTTGATCGTCGCGATTCAATCGCCGCGATTTCCATTCATTTTCATTTTACATTCAAAACTTTCGGGCTGGAAAAGTATCACAACCGAAATGCAAACTGGTCGACATGCAATGAACTCGTAACAGTTGTCTTGTCGCGATTGAATCGCGACGATCAAATCGCGTGAACTCTGTCCGAGGTCTTAAAGCATACTTTATTTAACCACTAAAGTTAAAACGGAAATTTGTCCCTTTAGGATATTTTTGTACAAAATCGTGTATGAGTATTACTATATGTTTTCTTGAATAGCTATCAACAAGCGTGCGCTTTTAACCGTTCCTTGTATTTTAGATATATATTTTGCCGCAAAACATCCCCTTTTAGATTATGATTCTGCCCTCATGACAGTCATAAACGGTAATACTGCCGAACATCTGGATATGATTGGAAGTGAGGTGATTCAGCGTTTGCTTGCGGATAAGTGGAAAGCCTTCGCTATGGTGAGTAGTGCAGGGAGAGGATCTGATGACTTCCTAATCTATAATTTTCTATTTTAGCGAAAACTGATCGAACGTTTGGCGCTGCTCGTGCTGCAGTTGATCACATTATCCATCGTAGTCTATGTGCGACCAACTGAGACAGATCGTCTGTATATGACTGATCCTCAATGGGACGATTGGGTTAGTTTTTGGCAAAAACAACTTCACAAATATTGGAACTCTCTCGCAAATTCGGGCAACCTTGAGGTTTTGATCTATTTTCAAAAATTCCAAAAATCGATCGGAAAATAGTCAAAACAAAGATTTTAGTACTTCATCTCTCACTAATATGAATCGATTTGATTGGTCGAAAATAAGGGTTAGAAATAGAGTAGAATTGCTTAATTTACAAAAAAAATCAACAATGTGGACGAAGATCTAAAACACAAGCATTTACAAGATTTTCCTGCGCAATTTACTTCATTTGAACCCCATTTATACTTACCAGGTAGCTCCCACTATCGATCACGACTGAATATGCTTTGAAAATTCACTTGATTATGGATTTTGAGAAGTAAGCAAACATGAAATTGCGTTTATTCCAGATCAGAACCGTCTGTGAAGTGCTCACTATTATGAACTGTGTATTTTTTGTATTCTTTCAACAACTTGGAGAGATTCGAACTCAAGGTTTAGCCGGGTATTTTAGGAATCTGGTACGTGCTTCGGTACTTTTGTGTGGAAGTTTGATTAGCATTAGTAATATTTTCAGAAAACGGTTCCAGCTAAAGCAGTATTTTTCGCAGCCAATATTTGTCTTTTGATGTGTATTCCTTTTCGATTTTTGCATTTGCATGAAATCGAAGAGGCTCTATTCGTGTTTGCCTTACCGGGTTCTTGGATATTTTTGCTATTTTTTGCAAGGTAATTTTCGCATTTTTCAAGATTGCTTGCAATTTCTCGTATATTTGCTATTTTAGAAGTGCCAAACTGACAGGTCCATTCGTACAGATGATCTATAGTATGATAGCTGGTGACATGATGCGATTCGCCATTATCTCAGCAATTTTTCTGGTGTCTTTTTCGCAAGGTGGACTAATAAATTCTGCAATTTCTGTACCTATTTGTAGAATAGCTTCTGTTTTAGTGTTTTACTTCGTTGGCAAAGACATGGATGCAAAACAAAATCTGGATCACGGAAATCCGCACTGGTGTCAAGTGGATGGATATAATATATACACTTATGATAACTTCCTGGAGACATTCATAACCCTTTTCCGAGCAAGTATGGGCGGTTATGATGTGAGTTCACGTTCTCAATGACAGTCTTCATCAACTAATCGAAATATTTTTTTAAGAATGAAAATTTCTGCTGCTTTAGTCTGAATTTTTTTGAAGCCTTAATTTTGCAAATGTTAACTTCCGGCCCTTTTTCTACTTCTTCCTATTCCAGTACGAAGAATTCGCTTGTGCCAACTACGAGGTGCTGACCAAGACACTTTTTGTATTGTATATGTTTGTCATGCCAATCATGATGATCAACATCCTTATCGCCATGATGGGTAATACCTATACCACTGTCATTGCTCAAGCTGAGAAAGCCTGGAGACAACAGGTTGGTGCTAGATATCTGATAAAGATGATAACAAACATAAGCAAGAAAAACTTGTAGTACATTCAAAATCTCGATCCCAAAATTTGTTCACCCATATTTTTTCACTCTACCTTCAAATTTTGCTTCGTGATTCTCATAGCCGGTTGAAGAATTCTAAAAAAATTGAATGCAGCACCTTTTTTCGATTTTTCGAGCTAGACATGAATCATTGGACATAAAATAAAAATTCAGCTTTGTGTTTCGACCTATCTTGTAGAATTTTCGCACATCTAACGCTAATATTGTGGTCCTGGTTTAAATTAGGATTAATCTAAAAATTGACATTGACTTGAAGTAGGACTTTCTTGCGGCCAAAATAATTCGAGCTCTTGCATATGTTGCCAACAGAACCACTAGATTGAGGTTAAATTAGTTTTTGTAGCATTGGCTAAGGTTGAGAAAACAAATTAATTCGTAGAAAAACATTATTAAAACCGAACACTGTTTGAGTGGATGAAACGGCCAGTAGTGTTCTTATTTTTCACATTTCAGTACGCTCAAATCGTAATGGTCCTGGAAAGATCAGTGGGTAAAGATAAATTGGCGGCAAGTCAGCTAGAATACAGTATCAAACTGAATGATACGAATGATGCGGCTTTGGAAGTGCGAGGTTTGATGGTTATCAAGCAGACGAAAAAGACCAGAGCGAAGCAGCGGAAACAAGCTATTCTTCATTGGAAGACTATTGGAAGAAAGGTAAGAAGATTTTGAAAAAGGGGGAAGATAAGTTGAAAACACAAATTCAAGGTCATCCATACGATTGCAAAAGTTGGAAATGAACAGGCTATACAACTCTTACATGGTCACGATCGACTTGATCCCATTTTCGAAGAGGTTGGTGGAAACTTCAAGGCTGTTGCTGGATGTGTTATAATTTTCTCAATTTGATTTGATTTTTTCTTTAGATGCCAACACACAATCGAGCCCCAACACGCTTGTTATCCCGAAGTCGGCCGAGAAGTACTTATTCGCCTGCGCCGAACGAAGAGGTACATACGCCAAATTTTGTCCTAGATATATCAGTGATGGTAATCTTTGCAGGTGAAGGTGGAAGATCCAGTAGCTCAAATGCACCTTTCTGCACCAAGTATTACTGTTGGTATAAGTTTGAAGTTATGATTCTTGACGAAAATGATTTTTTCAGAACCTTGATTGGCATCCTGTAGAGGCTAGCGCAGATCCAGATGAGGGCGTCCATGAAGAGACCGTCATAGTCGTCTCACACAGATTTGCGATGGCATCATTAACTCACACAGATTCGGTAATTGGCAATTATGCTTTGAAGAATGCTTAACGAATAAGCTATATTTTTTAGCAGCGAAATATGCGGATACGGGGAGTGGAGATGGTCCCGTCCCAAGACATTCCCAACATGCCCAACATGCCAAACAGTACTCCACCGCACAGGGCAGTCAGCCCTAAAGTCCGGCACGACATGTTTCGCAAAAAAGACAGTTCTGGCAGCGGGGGCAGCTAAACGGACTAATCATGCTAATTTACGAAGTACTGGCTTCACTTCTTCTGAGTCCAGCTAGGTGATACTATGTTCTGTGGAGCTCATTATAATCTTTGATCAAATCTTATCCTTTATGAATTTTGGAGAAAATAAATGTACAAAATTCTAATCATCTGCTGTTTACACATAACTTGCAAGGCAGTTCTTGGGGATTTGGAGCTTGTTCTTATTCTTTTTTCCCGTTATTCGATCGCAGTGGAAGCGCGAAAGTACGGCTGTGGTGATAAATAATAATGGCTCCTTGGATTTGCTTAATTTTGCATGTGTCAGATGGCATTTCCAGTCACATTTATATATTCATTGTGTTACATTATATATCATAGGAAAAGGCTAATCATTGAAAAATGAGGAATAGGATATAAAGAAAATGCACGATTTAGGATAAATCCAGCAATAAGCCTCGGTTTATATCGTCACCTTTGGCTCAGTAATCGCAAATTTATTGATTTCCAGCTTGCCTCTCTCTGTCATTCTAATAGTTATAAGGGAAGAGCAGTATGGGAGAAAAAATGGACAGCCCTTCATTTTTGAAGAGTCTTCATAACGTGATGACCAACAATGATACGTTATCACCCGCTACCTAATCGTCCAACTATTGGTGTGTTTCTCATTTTTATTTTAGTCTACACCGAGATGAAGCGAAATGTTGCAAGAACCGCCAACAGAGGACCGGTGCGTCTAGTTTCAAAGTGTGCGACGGTTATGAATCCGTTGTCGATGACAATACTGGTTGGACCGAGGTTTGAAATGCGCAGACCTTCGAATTTCTGAGTTCTCAGCAAGCTTAACAGCAACCAAACCTTCATACGTCAACCTTAGTTTATGGCGTCATTAAGGTTGCCTCTACTATGTTCTAAAAGTAAAATCGCTCACTCTAGCTTGGATCAGTAGATTGAAACGGAATTTATTTTAGAAAGCTTGAAGGAACCAATTAGTAAGCTTCGGAAGCTCTCAGTAGCGTCTTCTGGCGATCGTTTATCGTCGGCAACGGCATGAACAAGTTCGCAGTTTTTGAACAGAACATTTCTGCAAAAATTTTTATCACCCCAAAAAGTAGTAGCTGCACACATTCGTACATGTCTCCTCCCATATGCAGTCCAACCCAAGTTTCAACTGAAATAAAGAGAAAAGGTGTTGGGGACTTTCAGAGCACTAACACTTGAACTTGAGCGAGACCATCAGTCCCATCAGAAGCACTATAAAGCTGATTTCAGTCCTATGGCGGCCTTAAGCAGTATAGCATTCAAGGATGAGTGATTTGAGGCCACCGATTGATGATAATGCTTTATCATAAATGATCGGAGTATTGGAGCTCCTTATTGCTTCGCAGTCGCTTCGCTCTTTGATCCTTTCTCGCTGGAAGCGGATTTGGCAAATGAACAAACTATGGGTACCCCCCCCCCCCTCCCTTCCTTCCCTCTCTCCTGATACACGTTGATACATACCGCCCATGAGTATGTAGCGTCTCCCGATCGGGTAAATGTTCCCGCACAGGCCATAATCCTGTCAGACGCATGCACCCACGCCCACGATGCGCGAATGTGGGGGCCCGTCCATGCAAAAGCCGTTCAGGTTGGATCGTGTAGGTCTGCAAAGCCTGGGGCGGTATAGGTATACATCAATCTCCCGTTTTGAAAGCGGGCGATCATCTTCAATAGTTCGTACATCACGAGATCCGTACGCGGCAAAGTTGAGGGACTCATTAGCCGTGGAGCGCGCCAGCGCAATCATTGGCCGTAGTTGGCAAGACAGCTGATGTTGGCCCATTTTCGACCTTCTTTATTAGGAAAACCAGTGCGTCACCTCTGCTTCGCAGAGGCTCGCACTGGTCCTACTATCTGTACGCCTTTCTCATTCCCCGACAATAGAGACATTGAAGATCACCGCGCTATGCGGACTATCACGAACGGTTTGTAAACAGCTATTCATTCCAAAAGCTTTTCCAAATGAGATCGGTAATTTCGCTGAACAAAACTTTTCCCAAAAGAACAAATGCAAATTTGAATAGGTTTTTGGACACTTCATGGCTCGGCATTCGCCATAAGATACAATAATCACCGTGGGTTATATCTCTGTGCAAAAATCTTCTCTAATGATCAGGTAAAATCTTGGCAAATTGAACATCTACGCAACCCAATCCTTTTTGGCATCGTTTTCGCAATGTAATAAAGTTTAGTTCAAACTTTTAGGCTGAAGTCCTTGGCTTGCATATTAACTTGTCAAACATATTCGTGACTTTGCAAAAAGTTGGGCTATAGGCTCAGTTTCACTGGCCAAAAGCTAAGTGAATCCTACAGACGTGCATTTTTTTGAGGGATCCTCGCAACGGATCCGCTCGTGCTTTAGTATAGTGGGCTCCCATGTTGGTAGCATGCACTGTGCAAAATTTGGGCTCAGGAGGTTGGCTGAAACACGTTTTACGAATTTCGTGACAGACAGACAGACTTACACACAGACACACACACATAAAAACACGTAAACATCCTTAGCCCGTTATTATAAGTTATGATTCGCTGATGTTCCATAATGGATAACACGAAACCAAGGAAACAGGCAAGTCAAAAACCGGCACATTAGTTGATCCAAAAGATGAAAGTAGCGGATTTTGCTGAAACTTCGTCCAGAGGAGTTATTTTGCACGCTGATTACGAACATCACACTTGTCTCGCACCGTAGCGCCATCTGGTGGTGTTACGGTAGAATTACGGTGGGAGTCAAAATCACGGATTTGCACCAGACTTCGTCTAGGGTGGTTACTTGGCACGCTAAACATGAAAATCATAGTGATTTCGCACGGTAGCGCCATTTTCTCGGGCTACGGTGGGTATACGGTAGATGAGCCATTGCTCAAATTTGCCTAAAAGGTTTCCTAAGCACGCTGATACGAATAGCGTGCCCTTTTTGCCGTGCTGATCCCGTATATCGCACTCGTTTCGCAAGATAAAGCCTTTTCGTGGATTTTTGGGACCTAAACTTGGTTCAAAAACACAAAGGTTGCTCTTCGCACTACAGTCCTACAATAGCGTTCGTTGTTCCAGCGAACGGGCTTTATATTTGCATTCAGCATGCTTATAAATTCCTTCAGGTAAAGTTTCGAGTGAATATGCTCATGTCCAGCTTACCAAATAACCCAGAGGAAGTTTGGGAAATCGGTGATTTTGACCCCCTATCGTAATCTACCGTAACTCCACCAGATTTCACTACCGTGGGAAGTAAATGCGATATTCGTAATCAGCGTGCAAAGTAACCCCTTTTCATTTTTTGGGTCAACCAATGTGGAATAGCGCCCAAAAACCACTAGTTGAACAATTCACTTTCTTATTGTCAACTAAGCTCTTTTTGGAATAAACGGGATAAACCTTACATCTGTGAATCTAAGCAGAATCGTTAGAATTTATTAACCAAAGCACCTTCCACAACAATCGCAAACAAAGGAAGAGCACTATTGTGAAACCGAGGATATGGAACAGAAAGATTTTCGAATGCAATCACAAACCACGCTTCTGATTGAAAAAGCTTCCTTTTGAGGATATCTTACAACTGTAAAGCGAAATGGTAAGGATGATTCATTGATTACGCACTTCTAGAACAATCACAAGCAAAGAGAGCACCTTCGAGAGCTTCAGAATATGGACACAATGATTTTCAAGAGGAGCTACACGCCAAAAAACATGAAGCACTAAACCATACAATTTGAGAAGGATTTGAGAAGGAAGACGGTTTCGATTCACCGAGCAATCAAGAATATGGAGGTAGTTTTGAACAATATGTTGAACACGATGTTCAATGGGTAACACTAGAGAAAATGCACTAACAATAAGTGCAGAATAAGCAGTGCGAGGAGCGAAAAAGTGCTAAGCATGTTCAAGAAATTATAAGCAAGACTTTACGCAGAAATGATAAAATATGATTCAGATGAACAGCTCGACAAATTGAGTAAAGAAGTAGCGAAAAAAAATCAAATCAAACTGGCTCTAGCTGCCACGTACGGGGCCAGGCATACTTCATGCGACTGCGGTAGCGACGCAATTTGGCAATATTCCACTGTCCATAACTCACTGTAAGCATATTTTGAATGCATAGAAGATAGGGCAATTCATCAATCCACATAAATTATACACACTATGCATGTGCAGCTTGCTAACTTCTGGCAAATTCCCAAATCGCGTCGCCACTGAAATCGCGTGAAGTATGCCCGGCCCTTACCATTACCGCAGATCGTGCAAGGCTGTCCCTCGCTTGTGCATGAAATATGGGCCCATGCTTTACAAATTCCAGCATTAGAGCAACTAAGCCATAGTTCATAGCCATAGCGATTTGAAGATGTCGATACAAATTGCGCAACGGAAATGGCCCCTTTTGGTAAAATGGACTCAATGCGGAGAGACGCATTATCGAGCATACTGAAAATATTATCTACAGAATATAATAATTGAAAGAAAGCATGAAATTCGAAGCGATATTATAGAACAAAAAAGCTGCACAAACTCGTATTGCTAATGTTTGCGGAGTAAAAAACTACGTTCGTCAACATCAGAACAGCAACCAGAACAACTGTAATTAGTAGGCATTAGTTAGTGAAATCAAGGAAAACTGGGAGCGAGAATCGAAAAATGACAATATTTCGAGAATACAACAATTACACTTTGACTTAACGATGCAAACCAAAAGTTATTACGCAATTTGGCTCAAAAATGACGAAGAACGAGACTTTATCGACAAAAAACATCAAAAACGATGTTAGGGAACAAAAACATGTGAAAATTGAGGTTACATCGGCTGTTATGGCCAACGGATTGGCTGGCGCGCTCCACGGCTAACGAGTCCCTCAACGTTTGCCGCGTACCGGATCTCCATACATCACGTGTCAGGCGGCCAACCCGGCCGGGCAATCATTTTCTAATTGAAATGATCGCCCGCTTTCAAAACGGGAGATTGATGCATACCGCCCCTGGTCTTATCTATCTCGCTTGACTACAAATTGTGTGAAATACTGCATCTCATTGACTGGTGGCTAAAAACGTTAGTAAATCGGACGATTTATTTCAATGGTCAACGAGTAAAATCTAATAATTGATATGTTGCAAGAGATTTGTCTGATTTGAGATTTGAATTGGTTTGATCCTGAGATTTACAAGAGATTTAGAGCCAGGACTGGAGAGACTGGGCTTTGAAGCTCTTGTAAATTCAAAGATAAGCTCGAGTCAAGTCTCAAATTAGAAAAACGTTTTGTAGCATAACAATTATTGAATCATCTCGTTGACTAGTAAGTGATCTGTTCAATTTACTAATGTTTTCGGCCCCCTAATCAATGAAATACGCTATTTCACACATTTTTTTTGTAGTTAAAAGCAGTGGTTCGGAAAAATTGCAGCAACTACGCCCTTTCTGTTCCTCCGTGGCCTTCTGGATGCGTTTAGACCAGAGGTGTAGGGAAGGCGTGCAAATGGTACCCGGCAGCCACCGGAGCTGCCGATGAGGCCGCCGTTAATTTAATGATACAAATTACTATTGTCGTCCAAAACCCTTGGAGAGAATCTTGCGCCCCTGTTGGTCATCTAAGGCGAGCTCTGGCGTCCGTTAATCTACCTTGGCTTTCGTACTAGTCACGGAATGAATGATATCATGAGCTTTGATGTTGGCATCTGAATGGATGTGTCATTTATACATTC